GGAATGCCATGGCTGCAACTCCCCAAGGCCCCCAGGATCCCAGGTAAGGCTTCCGGGGCCAGCACAGTTGCTGGCCTCAACTTCCTCTACCCCACCCAAGATAACCTGCTGCACACCCAAGCATGCATGGCACAGGCTTTCCACAGGGACAAATAGCAGCAGCACACACTTGTCCCCAAGGAAACAAATGGCCATGCTCATCTGGACATGGCCACAGGTTTCTAATGTCAACCACTGCATGGAATAATCCAACCCAAATCCTGCCTCCAGTTAGGGGAAGCAGACTGATGTTACTCAAAGCAGAATTGGGCCCTCTCTAACTTAGCCTTGAAGATCTTGGGCCGGAATCACCCCTGTTATAACTCATTTCGCTTTCTTGAACCCACACCAAGGGAGAATTTGGCCCTCTATATTTCTTTTGTCTATTTTGGGACATATACTTGACAGTGTCCCAGACAGCAGTATTTCCTCTGCTTTGGAGAGATGTTAGACAGGATGACTTTGCAGCTGACAAAGGAAGTTACTTAACTCAGAACCCACCTGTTATGTACTTGACACTTCTGTTTAAGCTCCCCCATGGCAATACACACTGTGCAGCAAGGTGACCTCTCTTACTAAAGATAATGGTACTTCCAGATATTTAGTATTGAAACCTAACTGGTTGGGTTTTCCATCTGAGTCAATATCTGGGATGGCACTGGGGCAGAATGCTATACAATCCTTAGTGGAACACTGGCTCTGTGGGAATCCAAATCTAGGAATTCCTGGACATTTTAAATTTTAAATATTGTATTATGATGTTGAACTCATAAGTAAGAATATGCATTGAGCTCCCATTTTCTGTATAGGAGTGGATCTCAGTCACTTCTGTGGCATTCTTATTATGTGCTCTTCTGGTCTTATGAAGGCATCTCCATACGGTCCAAGGTCTGTGACTCCAATGAAACTATACTGGTGTCATCTAAAACCCCCAGCTTGAACACCTTGTGCACATCATTAATGAGTCATTATTAATGACTCCTCCTGGAAACCTGCAAGGGATGTCATTATTAATGACTCCTCCTCAAACCCTCCTGGAAAAGAATGACATACTCAATCTAGCCATGAAGGATAAACATGTCCTGGGTTACACATAGCCCCTAACAATAAACAGCATCTCTCCAGCTTATCTAACTCCTATTCTCACTGAGGCACGAGGCCTTGCAATGCCCCCAGATGCCAGATGAGCCCCTCATCAACTCAGACCACATCATTAGTGGACCAAATAACATGGATTATAATGCCTGAGGTTCATTCATTTGCTCCTCTACCGATGTCATATATGGCATCATATGTTCATAGCACCACTCTGCTTTCTACAGCAGACAAAGCAATCCCTACATGACAGAATGAATGGACACCAAGCTGACATCAAGTCCAAAATGCACAAAATCTGTGGCAACACGCTTTATACTTCCTGGACT